CATCATCATCATCATCATCATCATCATCATCATCATCATCATCATTCATTTATCAGCCAAGAGATTACAATCGTCTGAGATTCGTGTTGGTGATTATCTAAATTATACACATAACGCGGTGTGTGGTGGTAAAGGTATATCATTTAAAGAAGCAAAAAACGAGACTATTGATATCACGTGTGGCTGCCACGAGCCAATCAGAGGCAGGTACATCGGCATATCCAGTATACGAACGACGATGTTAACTTTATGCGAGGTCGAAGTTTGGACAGATCCTGTGGATAACGATTTACACACGACACTACCGCCACCCTGGACCGGACTTGCTACTACTACCAGTGGTCCGATAACAACAACACCCTCTCGTAAGCAATGTTTTGTCACTTTGTACTGTCTTCACATCTATCCCACACATCAAATATAAGCTTTTCTGTGTTTATGGACTGCGGAATGTTGTTCATGAGAGTAAAAATCAACCAGAGGACATAAATGCAATGATATAATATAATTTAATTACAAATTTGTATTTTTGTTTCTTTCTTTTTTCCACCGCTCTTCTCTATTTATGCTATTATATAATGTAATATTATATGTTTATATCATGACAACGAAATAAAAGAATATTTAAATATAAAAAGATGAGAGAATAGGGAATACGCATAAGCGCAGTTGTATGTATCTATTACTAATATGACATTTGGACTTTGTCAAATACGTGACGGTCACGTGATGTTACACCTAACAATGATCATAAATTGATTGGTTCCTTGTTTTTTTATCGTAGCCTGCGTTTTGCCTGACGTTTTGTTGAACATAGCACGTGGGGAACCGACAACACAGAGCTCAGTACACGGAATGGGTCGACCAGGAAAGGCAGTCGACGGGAATTCCAACAGTAACAGTCATGAAGGGAGATCCTGCACCCAGACAGAAAAAGAGATGGCGCCATACTGGATGGTCGATCTCGGCAGGCCACGTAGCGTATTTAAAATCACGTTAACAAACAGAATGGACTGCTGTTGTAAGTATCAGTAACGCAGTGCTTGCCGGTAAATACTACAATGATATAGTCATTGAGGGCGCTATTTGTCGACTGTTATCTACATGTATTACCTCAGTGCTTTGATTTAGGGATTGAATTTATAGTTGCGCCCCATAATTCAGTATCACAATTCAGTCAATCTGATCCTCGTTTAAAGAGCGCCGGTCCTCGCGCCGTGCCCATTTCAATATGGGACTCATAGCGACGTACACAACGCGTGTAAAATACATTGTTTATTTACATGAAATTCGAACACGCGCTGCGCGACGACCACCGACCTTTAAGTTTGTCAATATTGGTGTACTTTTCACAACATTCCTAGCGAAATAGATCGTTATTTCGATCTAGTCTATACTATGCAACATTAAATAGTAATGTTAATTAAGGAATAATGATGAAGAAAACGCTCTATTGTTTGTCAATATTGTGACCAAAACTTTGTTTTATCTAGCCTATAGACTGAAAAATGCTGAAATACGTGTGGGGGATAGTGCAAATATTACAGACAACACCGTGTGCGGCGATCGTATATCGGAAGAAGATGCTAAGCTGGAGACGACTGATCATATCTGCGGCTGTGGATACCCTATAATCGGACGATATGTCAGCGTGCAGATCGTTGATATGCCCGACCCGCGCGTGTTGACGTTATGCGAGGTCGAAGTTTTTGGTGTCTTCGAAGCAACTACCACTCCGGCACCAACTACTGCTTTTGGTGAGTATGATTTAGTGACAGCATAGTGTATTTGGTATGGGTGCTATAACAGAATTTAACATTTAGCAGAATATCTGACACACAACTGTAAGCACAGTCCCTCAACACTGTTGAGGGACTGTGCTGTAAGTTATAACCAGTTTTGAAAATGAGGTTTTCGGGGTTCACGTTTTAATGATCATAAACCTTCTTGTTTGCATACAACTTGGAAATAAAGCAAGACTCAATTAAACGATCGTCCATCTGCGGTTTGACGTGTTTTGTAATTATATATTTAGCCTAATTTGCGTAACAATTTATACGATTTAGCGGGTTCGATGATTTCAAATATTACGCCTAAACCTGCGCATGCGTCAGATGGTCATAGTGTGCCATTGTTTACAAACAAGCGTCTACCCATGAGCCTTTGCGTTTTAGCGTGTGTTGTTATCGTCGCTTGGAACTCAATTACCGCGTGTGCGCAGGTGACGACATCCCTCTTTAAATGTAAAGAACTTACATAAGGTAGAAGCTTACTCATAAATAAAAAAAAACAGAATTTATTCATTTTGCAATAAATTGTACTCCAAGGCAATATAACGATATTGACCTAAAAAAAGTTTGGGGTCACCAGCATTTTTTTCGAGAAATTGATGGTTGTATTTTAGTGGAAAGTCGCCATTTTGACACTATTATAACACTTTTACCACAGTTTCCTATGGCAGAGATATTATGCAATATCTCAAAACCTAGCCTGGTGACATAGGCTGAAAAAATCATATATGTTAATGATAGGGTACATTTTGTTGTTCTGAATTATTTAAAAAATCTGGGTTTTAAAAAGTGTCAAAAAATGCAATTTTTCTTTAATATTGTGTTCTATGCAATTGTTCTAAAAATAGCAATTTTCAAGGCATATTAGGACACATTTCTCAAAAAGCATAACTGTAACACACTGTAATACTATTTCATTGTACCACGAGACATTAGCTTCATGATTGTACATAATAAACTAATTAATTATGCGACTTATGACCAAATTTGTCAGAAATTATGACTAGGCTTCTACCTTAATTCCCGCGTGTGCGCAGGTGACGACATCCCTCTTTAAATGTAAAGAACTTACGTCACGTTTGGTTTAGAAACTGAATCACGTAAGGTGAATTCATTTGAGGAAACGGATCTCCATGCGTGATTTAAACTTAGTCGAACACCACTGTTAGAAGGCGATATTTCTTAGATTAAGAGCCCCTATTCACGTTTTGCGCACGTATGGTACACAGTACTGGTTGGCAGAAGACGGGCGTTCGCAACCGTAGGTAAAATAACGGCATTGTTGGTTGCTAATAAATATACATGTACGTACGTGTTCCTGTTAATAAAACAACTTATGGGTGATGTTTTCGCAGCAGATATTGATAGATAGTGCTGATCAGTATGCGACATGCAAACATATAACTTCCGTCACGTATCATTGTTTTTTCTGTAATAATAGCGTGGCTCATTTTCATGATCGAGTGATATTTCATCTTGTTTTGCTTTTAGTGTGCCCTCTACCCGATAATCTTGTCAACGTTGCTATCGGTATGCCCGTATCACAAATATCTACTAGGGCGAACGGCAATGCGGAGAACGCTGTTGACGCTGATAAAAACAGTGATTATGCTGCACGCTCGTGTTCGCAAACAAGGAAGCACCATGAACCGTGGTGGGTCGTGGATTTGGGGGAGTCACGTGGTGTATATAAAGTGGTAATAACCAATAGAATGGACTGCTGCTGTAAGTAGTTTTTTGGGACTTTTAAATTACTACAACATAGACAACCACATTCATATACAAATGTTGAGTATATTTGATAGACAACCTGAGATATCAGCAATGCCTTTTACCTATAAAAGTTATTAATTCTCAATTGCATTCGGGTTGTATACGCGATTAATTTAATATACGGATTTATAGCACATGATATGATTACTACAATTCTGGACGACTCAATCGTGTACTATAATAAGTAAATTTCGTGTAAAATATGCACTTATGTTTTCCGTATTAAAACACCCTTCTTATCCTAATACCCTTATTGTGCACAAAAACAAACATTGAATCACATTTATTTCATTTCTTTACAATTTTTGTCTAAACATTTTGCATTTTGCATTTATGCATTTATTTATTTAATTGAACATTTCTGCCTTTTTACGTCAGCTTCAAAGTTGGCTAATGCCGAAGTACATATTGGTGACAGTGAAACTGTAGATGACAACAAACTGTGTGGAGCGCGCCTAACAAAACGAGATGTTTTAGATCAGGAAACTGTCGAGGTCGTCTGCAACTGTCCCAATGCAGTGATGGGACGTTACGTCAGTATACAGTTAAAAGAAGTGGTCCAGGTATTATCGCTGTGTGAGGTGGAGGTGTACGTTTTATTATAAAACTAATCATGATCATTCGTTGGTACTGTCTATTCCAAAAAAGCCAAAAATTGTTAAAAATTTTACAGTTTTGAATTAAATAAACTAAGCTTCTGGGACGAAAATTTAGTTATTAATGTGCCCTGACACGCTTGAATCTTATATGTCACGTTTTTAATTAGGAATTTACAGAGAACGACATCGCGGTGATTTTTACCTGTTGTTATAGCGCATTATGGTACTTACTGATGACGATGTTGAAATTTAGTCGAAATGCATTCTTTCGCAGCACGGCGACGTTTAAAATGATGTCTGTATGAGTACTTTGCAACTGTTGTTTGTTGTGTGAAATTAAGAATAATTTACAATTATTTTCTTTACGAAACGTAACCGAAATTCAAGTTACATTTTCGTATATCAACACCCTACATGCTCAATATTGGCACGCCATTTGTAATTGTGACGTCATTGGAATATAACATATTTGATGCGTTGACACTATATATATATTGAAACACTATTGTAATATCAGTGTGGTTGAATCGACACAATGTTTGGGAATGTCAACGACTGTGATGATAATGATTGAGAAGTTTAATTTTCTGGTGAAGGTGTCATTGGTTGGGTAAGTCTTTTAGAGTTAATATGTTTTGTAGTACGATGGTCGTCTCTTTATTTGATGTGATCATATCATAGTAATAAAATCATTTTGGTCAAAACATTTGATTTTATATTTGGCTTTTGTTTTATGTGGAGCGTTGACAAGATTAATACAGCTAACAGCATTTGCAAGCAAATATTATCAACGACTTATTCCATCCTCGTGGAGTGGATAGTCAGGGTTGTGTACATTTCAACTGACTACATTGACACGTGAATTCGAGGGCGTTTTGTCATTATCATTAAACTAACCATGTTTATATTATTATATTGTTTTTATTGATAACCAACACAAAGACAATAGAGAAGAAATAAATCACCTATAACCAATCTTAAAATGTGGAAAACGCTGTTGCGAACAGAAAAATTGAAGATGTGACCTTGGCCGTAACAATTAGTTTGCTCCTAAAACAGATATGGTATTTATTAAATGACCAATGTGCATGTGACTTTCAAATTTGCGTGAACGGTGTATATTAAATTCGAAATTCTAGTATAAGCCATGTAGACGGCAACAATTATATACCATTTGTTTTCGTAATGAAGAAGAATATACGAGTTGTTATATCATTATACTATAATACCACACACCAACCATTCATTAAATAAAGCATAATTTAGACGAGTCTCGGTTTTTCGTTTCTATGGGAAGCCCATTATTTCCACCTCACATAGAGTCAACACTTGTGTCATGTCCTGCAACTGTATAGAGACGTATTTCCCCTTCATTGCTTCACATCCACACCTTACAGCAATAGTTTCCTTGTCGACCATTTGTCTTGACAGTGGTTCACCACAGAGGGCGTTTTCCGATATATTCTCGCTGTCTCCAATACGAATTTCGGCACTGTCAAGTCTCCACGCTGTAAGATCAATGACAAATAGATAATTTCTCTCTTTATATCAATATATATATCACGCACAACAAATGCAATAAACGTGGCAATATTTCACATATTCTAGTGATACTTACAGCAACAATCCATTCTGTTTGTGATAATAACTTGATAAACATCTTTAGATTCACCAAGATCCACCTTCCACCAAGGACTCAACTCCGAAGCGGTTTGGGTACACGACAACGCGTTATAGTCGCTGTTTTTGTCTCCGTCAATTGCTTTTTCAGCACCTAACTTCCTCTTTGTTGAACTCTGTGACACTTGATTCCCGCTGGCAAGCTCAATCAGTCCACCGGGCAGCTGGCATTCTTCAGGTGGAGCAGCAGCCCAGACTTCAACTTCGCATAAAGTCAGGAACTGCGTTCTATCTATAAGTTGAATGCTGACGTATCGACCGTTGAGTGGTGTATCACAACCACAGGTGACATTAACGGTACGCTCCCTAGCATCTCGTCCACGCAGTGGCCCACCTCCACAGACGGCGTTCTCCTCAAAGTTGGGACTATTTCCAACTCTTATCTCAGCGGCTTTCAAGCGGAAGTCTGATGGAACAAATAATAATAATAAATTACATTATATATCGACGGAAGCAAACACACATTCTGTCGTTTTTCGCATTTTTACACTTCTTACGTTTCACGAAATAAAGTGTTTTTTTTTCATTATTGTGGAAGGAAAACAACATACAGCAGCAATCTTCTCTGTTGCTAATAGTGATCATGTGAATGTCACGTGATTCCTCTAAATCAATCATCCACCATGGCTCATACTCTTTTTTTGTCATTGTACATGATCTTCCAGTCTTGAAGTTGCCATCTTTGTTTCCGTCTACAGCTCTGATAGCCACAGCACCCCTTCTGACTGAGCTCTGACTAGTCTGCACCAGCCCCGAAGCCACCTCAACCACTGGTGGCAATACGCAAGCTGAAGAAGACATCAAATAATTTATTAATAATAATCATGATAGTTAAAAATCAAATAAGAATTCAGGATTTAATTAAGTAAAATAAATATTTCGTTGGCTTACGTGGTTCAGTTGTTATTGGTGTTGTTTCCAATACTGGAGTGGTATCCATTCTGGCTAGTGTAGACCAGGGCTCGGTAGCCATTGCAGTTGGTCCAGCTTCTCCCATTGCCAGGACCTCCACTTCACATAAGGTAAGAATCATTTCTTTGTCTCGCTTCAATCGAATGCTGACATATCGTCCAATTAATGGCTGACAGCTGTTGCAGATGATGTGAATTTGTTCTCGTTTGGCCATTTTCCCGCTGACCCTTCGAATTCCACACTGTGTATTCTCTTCCATGTTCTCGCTGTTTCCAATTCTGATCTCAGCTTCTTTCAGACGAGATGCTATAATATAGAAGACATGTTGGTTTGTTAGTTTGTTGTATGTTTACGTTTACCATATGTTGCTACAGTTGTTTTACAATACAGCAGCGGCTTCAGTGCGGGAAACTTGAGATTGTACAATTTATGACAAAAAATTATATTCTACAATAGTAAATACGAATGTGTATTATTGAACACTTACAACAACAGTCCATTCTGTTAGTGATGGTTACTCCATAAATTCCACGTTCTTGGCCAAGATCCAGTTTCCACCATGGTTCAAGAGATTTTTCAGTCTGCGTGCATGACTTTCCCTTGAAATTGCTATCGAAGTTGCCATCAACTGCTTTACCGGCAATACTTTTTCTCACGGTTGAAATTTGAGTTGCAATCATGTTAGTCGCTATGTTTACAAGACCATCAGGTTGGGTACAAGCTGCGAAGAACCATAATATGTTAAACCGACCATATTAAAGCAACAAGTGGGATTATTGAGTAATCATTTAGTGGTAACTGACTCTACTTACATTCATCAGTGGTCAAGCCCACGTCTGAAGTAGTGATATCTTCACTGGGAGCAGAGGTAACGGCAGATGGTAGAGCTGACACTTCTACTTCACACAGTGTAAGTTCCTCTGTGACCCCAATGAGCTGGACACTGACATAACGCCCTGTCACTGGCTGTCCACATGCACATATGATATCAATTGTTTCCTTGGTTGTTGTCGATTCAGATACTCTAACACCACACACCGCATTATCAATAATATTTTCACTGTTCCCAACTCGTACTTCTGCATTGAGTAGTTTGTCAGCTGTGGATATTACACAAAGAGTAGAACATGTTAGATTCACTAAATGTCAAAATCCTGTTCTTTATTTCATATATAATCTAAAAAATCGAAAACTTGAATATAGGTATATTGGTACGTTCGAGAATATACCTATGTGGTTAATGTGCCATAGACACTTGTATTCCAATTATGCGGATAATTTTCACATGTGAATGGCATGCGAATTTCTTAACGTGAAAGGATCGTGTCTAGTTTGTTTAGTCTAGTTTAATATTATCACATGCACAAGCCATTTTATTCTTTGTTGAACAGAAAGTACAACTTTTATACCGTGGTAATTCTACGTCATTCAATCCAGTGTCTATGTCATCGGTTCTGTAAAAACGAAACTATTTTCACCGAGTTCCATTTCTCGAAATTATCAGAAATAATTTGAATTGAAACTTGACATGCATGCTGCAACACAAAAACGCTTAATATGGATATTTTTTTAACAGATAGTCACGTCTAGCACAGACGTTTCGTTATTCTGAAGGTGGGACAGGAAACGGCCTGAATCTTCAACACTTTAACCTAGATAGGGTGTTCAGCGCATAAAAACATGTACATGTAAAAAGATAAACAAATCTGAACTCATTGAAAAAAACACTTGGCTTGTGAATGTGATAATAATATTATTCCTTAACATCTTCGGCGGATATTACATCACTTATGTTTTCCTCTGCTGCACGAAGAAACTTACTAAGGAGTAATGGTCTGATAACCTGGCTTTCAAACTACCGATATGTCTTGGGAAGGCACTATTTCAATACTCTCGAAAGTTCATGCTATTATGTGATGTATAATAACATTACATGAATGACTATATCGTCAATAATCTTACCACAACAGTCTTGTCTGTTTATTAAAGTAACTTTGTAAACATCTTGAATCTCAGAAAGGTCCACCATCCACCAGGGTTCGGATTCCAGTGTGGTTCGTGAACAAGACTTATTACGGAAGTTGCTGTCTGTGTTACCATCAACGGCTCTTCCGGCCTTTGATCCCCCTTTCTGGGAACTTTGTACAGCTGTTTTACCAGTAGCCACACTGTCGAGATTCTCTGGTAATAGGCATACTAAAAACAAAACAGAAAAAATAGTTTGTTTAACTTATTGGAGGCATTTGAGATATTTTGTGAAGAATGTCCTAAAGTTATTTGATTCATAATTACCTTCTGTTGTGACTTCCGGTTCCAATGTAGGCATTGGCAGACCTCCAACTGCCACCTCACACAGGGCTAATGATCCAATACCTGGGAGCTGTACACTGATATATCGACCCGACAATGGATCACCACAGGCACAGATAACTTCAATGGTTTCTTGGTTGACAACATCAGCAGAAATTTGGGTACCACACATAGCATTGTTATTGAAGTCATCATCATCACCAACACGTACTTCCGCATTCAGGAGTTCCTCAGCTGTGTAGTAATTTAAAAGCATAGATAGTTATCAATGACATTCAAATTGACACATCATGTTTCTAGTCAAAATTGTGACATACTTTTTCATGAATATTGTATTAAAATCTCAGTTAAATGTCAGATAAAAAAAATGGCAAAGCTTATATAATTCTTAAAAGGTCATTCTCTTTATCATGCTGATTAATAAACAAATGGATATCAGTAGAACATAGCAGTACTACTTACCACAACAATCTTGCCTATTTGTTATTGTTACTTTGTAGACATTCTGAGATTTACCAAGATCAACCTTCCACCATGGTCTGTTTTCAACTGTAGTCTGGGTACATGATTTTCCCGCCAGTGCATCGCTGTTCGTGTTGCCATCAACTGCTCGGTCGGCCTTAGAACCCCCCTTTCTAGAACTCTGAGTTGCCAATTTACCTTCTGCTGCATTTGGAAGATCATCTGGCACTGGACAAGCTAAAATAAACAAAAACAAGTTTATTAATGTTTAGTTTTCATGTACTTCATTTTCATGTACTTCAACAGAAACATTGTGAAGTATTTCGGGAATAAGAGTAATCTAAATTACAATATATTAATATACTGCACGATACTTATATACTGTTAGGTAAATGTATACTGATACCGCACAAAATCACACCTTGTTTGGTTGTAAATTCCAATGACAGAGTAGTTGTTTCTGAAGCAGTAGTAACTTCACCAGTAGCTTCTGTTGTTCTTTTATTCTGATTCTCTTCCGTTGTCATATTTTTTTCTGATACTGTCGTTTTCTTGGCAGTTGTGTTTGCTGTAGTTGCGATTTGTATATGAGCATTTGTTCCACCTTCTGTGTGTTCTTGAGATGTGGCTGTGCTGTGAACTTCAGTTGTTTGTTCCTTGGGTTTACTTGTCTTTTTTGATTCAGGTTCAGCAGTCGTTGGTTCATCAACAGCAACTGTAGATGGTTTGCCAGCGACAGTTGTTGGTTCGGCAGCGACAGTAGTTGGTTCGACAGCAACAGTTGTTTGTTCGGCAGCGACAGTAGTTGGTTCGACGGCAACAGTTGTTGGTTCGGCGGCGACAGTTGTTGGTTCTACAATGGTGGTTGTTGGTTCTATAACAACAGTTGTTTGAGCGGGAGCCATGGTTGTCATCTCATCTTCCTTCTCGATAATTTCGATTCCGCCATCTGTTGTTTTATCTGAAATGTGAGCATCAAAACATTATTAAACGCTGATTAGACGAGTGATAGTCACGTGAAGGAGACAATCTGCCATGTTTCCAGCTCTGACTTTACAAGCTGACGCCGTGTGCAAGTTAAACGATCATGTTGTGGATCTTTGCAGCGAATATTGTGTTTATATGTACTTTTAGAAAACATCCGTGCAATGACAACAGCAACCTATAATTCAGAATGACTCAATTTCAATAGTACTATTCAGTGAGAGAGAAAAATTGGAGCTTTGTTTGTGTATTATTTATATACAAACACTGTCCACATTGCTATAAGTTACCTTATCCATGTACACACTTACCACATTGGATTTTAGTAGCTGTTACCCCTTCAATATCAAAAGGTGTGAATTCATGCCACGAAAACAGATCACCACACCCAGGATCACAGGATCGAGTAGTACCAGCCTCCTAATACAAAAAAAAATTAGTTGTAAATACAATAACCCACTTACAACAATATTTCTCTTTCACAACTAAAGTGATAAATGATACACAACATTCAATGATTATTTCTGATTAGCCAAACTTGTCTTTTACCTTAATCTCATTTGCGTCAAGTGCTCGTGTCCATATGTTGAAATACATAATCTTGCCATTAAATGCATAGGGTCTTAAGAAACCTGTACCAACTCCACTTTGTAGCTGGCCAATCACTAACGATCCTCCTCCTCTGATTGTTTGCCCAGATGCAATATTTGAAGCAGAGTACATTCTTTGTCCACGGTCATATAATTTGAAGATACCACCATCTGATTCCCACGTCATACATAAATAGTGCCATCTTCCATCATTGACCTTAACATTGGTGTATCCACTCCATTGATTCTTAATATATACACCAAGGTTGTTGGGATTGATGACGTCAATACTGCCATAGGAATAATCTCCAATGGCAAAGTAGCCCATGATGGTGCTCCAAAAATAGTTGCTGGTTGGTGTTTCATTCATTTTCTGCCACCAACAGACTGTGAATTCATCTAAATCAGGAAGTTCTTTTGGTACTGTTGCATAGCTCCAGTCATATGTGTTATCAAATCTCCAGAGGCTATTAGCATATTTTCCACCTGAACATCTCGGTATACTTGCTGTGAATAAAAAAAAGGAATCTGTATTCCAAGTGTTCTCATTATACACTCCCATCGAGCAAGTATTTATAAGAAAAAGTAATAACTTACGACATTGCCTGTCAGAATCGCTGACACCAACTTCTGTTAACTGTTCAGATTTAAAGGATGGCCACCATACTAGATTGCCACATGCTTTTAAACAGCCATTTTCAGCAATTGCCTAATTTGAAGGAAAATAATTATTTTGTAGTTTCCTATACGCATGAATGGTATCATACTGGTCATGCTAATATATTTTTTCACACAGACTAAATAGTTTAGGTTCCTACCTCAATCTCACTGCTTCTTAATTTTTCTTTCCATAAATTGAAATCTGAGAGTTCTCCTTGATAGGCATAGTAGCTTCCACTGAACTGACCATTTGTATTCGCAAGTCTTTGACCAATGACCATAGTACCACCACCGCGTATAAGTCGATCTTTGGTTAAGTTTATGCCACTCAGTTCCATGTCTCCATCTTTGTAGTATTTGTACACACCATCAGTCGATGTCCATGCGACAAACACGTGATGCCACAGACCATAATTCAACTCCATACCAGAGAATGTACCAGCTTGATTACTGACCCACATACGCATATTGTGTACATATTCCAGGGCAATACTGCCCACGCTATCGCCATAAGTGAAATAACTCACGATCATTCTGGCGAAGTTAGATCGGTCATTTGTTCTCATCCAGAAACACATAGTGAACTCACTCAGATCGGGGATGGTTTTATCCACTGTGACAAATGAATTTACTGTTGTGCTGTCAAATGACCACGTTTTTCGTCTGTAATCGCCACCAAAGCAGCGAGGTACTTCTGGGCCTAAGAAGAAAAATGTAGTATTGCCAGGTGCAACATTGAATATTAAATACATTAAATGATATATATTAGTTTCAACAAACAAATGATAACTTACTGCAAGCCATTTCTGTTTCAGCTAATTCCACTGACTCAAGATCCGCCGGTGTCAAATACGACCAATTGATGATATCGCCACAGCCCCTGTCACATGGAGTTGTTGCAAGTTTCTGAGGAGTAAATAAAAAACAGTTAATATGAAACAACATCATGTCATTGGTGAAAAATACAACCACATTCAAATGCATTTTTAATATTTAATAATAAGTTTACAACAATAAACCTTGGAAAATGAACTCCAACAATAGTAGAAACCAGTACACCAGCACTGACTATGTGTAATATCGCACTTACTTTTATTTCTTCGCTTTCTATTGCTTCACTCCACATGTTGAAGGAAGTCATCTCGCCTTTGTATGAATAGTATTTGTGGAATCCACCACCATATTTGCCTTGATGTTGTCCGAGAACCACAACACCATTGCCGAGGATCGTCTCACCACTCCTAAGATTAACACCTTGATATCTCAAGTTTCCGTCTTTGTACATCTGTTAATATCAGAAAATATGATTAGTGAAATAGTTGAAATGTAACTAACAAAAAAACAATTGTGTCAACTTTCCGCGATCTACAAAATGTACCAAAATGAAACTTACTCTATATACTCCTCCATTTGACTTCCATGTAACACAAATGTGATGCCACAAACCATAATTTGTTTCTATATTACTCCATGATCCAACGCTGGTTTTGATCCACATTCTCATGTTATGGGTATATTCAACAGCAATACTACCATACCAAGTGGAACCGGGGGAAAAGTAAGAAAACATTGTTCCAGCCCAGTTCGATCTATCAACAGTTCTCATCCAATAACAGACGCTGAATTCTTCAAGGTCTGGTATTTTCTTTGTTACCATGGCATAGCTCCAATCTTTAGTACTATCAAAAGCCATAGTGCTGTTTTCGTATGTGCCTCCAGTACAACTCGGCTCATAACCTGTGAAGAAAAAGTTATACATATACCTTGCTGGTCACGATTGCCCATAATGCATGTATTTGATCCTTAAAACAAGTAATTTTTCGAATTTTTCTAATTGACATTTACTAATAATAAATCACAGTAAAGACAAACATACGGCATTCTATCTCAGATTCATTAACTTCTACTTCTGTAATATCTTCAGATGTAAATAATGCCCATGATATGATGTCACCACATCCATTCTCGCATCCCAATAATGACAAACGCTACAGGAAAGACGGTATAAACTGTTATTTGCAAATTGTTGGGTATAAGCATCTACACATAGTTTACTGTAATACTTTCGCTAACCTATAGTGAACGACAGAACACTTTGAGTGACATTTGTGTGCTTGAGCCCATTATGGGTTGGCGAGAAATTGTGTTGTATACTATAACAGTGCATTTGCTGCCATTATATTTATTGCATAAAAACGAAACGGAAAGACAATAAAGACAATAGACAATAAACACAGCGATTCCGTTTTCGACATTGTGCAATTTATTCGTTTTTTTGCAGAAAAGTACAGTATTTTCACCAAGTAAAATCATATTTATTAAAGTTATTGTTCATACACGAGTTGTTGGACACACTACATAGTTTGTAATTTCATTCAGCTTCTTTCAGTCTTAATGCAAGACAAATAAAAGGCAAAAATATAGAGAACATAGCAAATAATCCCTTTTCTATAATATACTTGTGTAATCGGTAATTATGAAAAATATTTATGGGTGCATAGGGAATACATTTCGTTATGAATTATTCTTAATATAAATTTCTGAATAAGGGTTTGCTTTTTAAAAAACAAAAAAAATTTCACAATGTCGAAAACGTAAAATCTTTATCGTAGTGTTAATAAGTAATATATTTTAAAGTGGAACCTACCTCTATGGCCGAATCATCTAATACTTTACTCCACATGTTGAAGTTTGCCATCTGTCCTATAAATGAATATCCTTTACCAGTGAAACTTCCTCCTTTAGAGTTTCTTCGATTACCAAGCATCAGTTGACCTCCTCCGTGTACAACCTTTCCAGCTTGTAAATTTGTAAAAGCCTTAACGAGACTGCCATCAAGGAAATATTGGTAGCTGCCGTCACTGCTGTCCCAGGAGGTACATAAATGCACCCATCTGTTATAATTGACTGCTATACCACTGGATGTACCCGCGCCTTGTCTTACATACATTTGTGTATTTGTTGGGTTTTGAATGAATATTGCAAGAGCCTCAAACTGTGTCGAGTATTGAACCATTGTTTTAGATGCACTTGTGTCATCTGTCTGTACCCAGTAGCAAATGGTGAAAGCCCAAATATCTGGCATTTCTCTCGAAGATACAGCATAAGAGTATTCGGATGTGCTATCGAATCCAAACTTCTTGTCATCAAATTCTCCTCCATAACAAGCAGGTAATTCAGGACCTGGTGATAGATATGCCATGGTGTGGTAAATATCTCGTTGATAGTGATTGAATTGGTACAACATTTAACATGTGATTATCTTTTAATCTAAGTGTGTATTGAAATGATTGACTTGTTTTAACAAAATTAAGACGGAACTCTGAATACGTTATATTTATTTTCTTAGTGTTCCAAGTAATATCCGAAATGTTGTATATTATGTCGCCAATACAATAAACATACAATATGTACATACCACATGGAATACTTGTTGGGTTTACTTCAACATTCAACATATCTGATGATCTGATAGAAGCCCAGTTTACGACATCACCGCATTCGGGATTACATCCATCCGTATGCATAGTCTAAAGATAAAGTATGAAATACATTACAGTAATATAATCAGCTGTAAAAAATGATATTCCTCACGTAAATAAAAGATACTATACTAAAATGCTTACATTTAATGTATCTGTGTCCAATACTTCACTCCACACATTGAACTGTGCAATTTCACCATTGTAGTTTTTGCTGGTGAAGCGTACACCACCAACCCCCTTCTGATCATTACCCAGTACAAAACTGCCACCTTTTGGTATTTGTACATCTTTCTTCAAGTTGATATTTTCATAAACCAGCCTACCATCTTTGTAGTACTGGTATTTTCCATCGGTGTTGTCCCATGTAATGCATGCATGGTGCCACAAGCCGTAATTGTATTTCTTGCCCGACTGTGAACCCCATGCACCATTGATCATAATTCTGAGGTTGGATGGATCATATACGGCAATTCCGTGGCCAACCGACGCCTGATTGTATGTCGCAATGTATGAAACTGCTGTTGAAGTTGTTCTCATCCACCAGCACATGCTCATCTCAGAAATGTCATCGATACTCTCACGGACACTAACAAAGCTGGCATCATAGTCGCTTGTAGTGTCTCTGAACGTCAAGGTACTGTTGACAAATTCGCCCTTGTTGCATTCTTCTACTCGTGCTGTAAGACAGACAGGACAATATACAATTACATTGAATGCTGCTTATTTGTTACAAACAGAACTTTCTTTTAGGATAAACACATATTATGAGATCACCATGTATTCACGTTAAATTAAAGATATGTATGAAATGAATACACTTACGTTCACATGTTATTGTATAATCTCCAACATCAACTTCGTTCAGGTCTTTACTCATTAAGTATGACCATGGAACAATGTCACCACACCCATCCATGCAGCCACTTACGGCAATATTCTGCTCAAAAATACCAAAGTACATGTGTGTCTTTAATTATTTCATTCACGTGTCAGTGTGTTCACCGTTAAACATTAGTTGCTTGGTTAGGTTAGGTCGGGGGATCATATTAACAAATGGATTAATATTTAAGTTATATATAAGAACTTACAGTGATAATTTCATCTTCCAGTACATCAGACCACATATTGAACTGTGTCATTTCACCAATGAACTCATAACCAGCTCTGAATGCAGCTTGTTGTCCGATACTGGCCTGATCCTGACCCAATATAAGTGAGCCTCCGCCATTTATTATTTTACCAGACATGAGATTAACATTGATATAAGCGAGACCTCCATCCTTGTAATACCTGTAGGTGCCACCATTGGAATTCCACGAGAAACACACATGATGCCAGATGCGTGTACGAACATCAATCGTACTAGCTCTAGCTGCGACATTATTAATATAAGCCATGTAGTTGTTGAAATTCCTGATACTTATGTGCCCCTGAGAAGGTGTATGGGTCATGTAACTGACAGAAGTACGACCTGAAGTTGCCATGTCGTCTGTACGTACCCACCAGCACATCGTAAATTTCTCAATGTCAGGAATTACTTTATTTACTACAGCATATGACCAATTTCTATCCTTCTCAAATATAAGAGTCTTGTCACTAAATTCACCATTTTGACAAGTTTGATGACGTGGTTCTGAAAAATAAATATCGTTCTATCACTAAATGAAGGTGCAATGAATACACGAGGTATACAGCATTACAATCGCGATGCTCATCAACATGATAAATAAACAAAGCAAATATATATATATATATATATATATATATATATATATATATATATATATATATATATATATATATATGCATATATGTATATGACCCATAGAATGAAAGAAGAACCATAAACCTACCACATTGAACATCAAAATCCTTGTCGGTATTCACAGATGCAAGATCGGTGGAGCGGAAATATGACCACCAAATGACATTACCACATCCTGTGTGACAACCAGTGATAGCAACGTTCATAATGTCGTCAGATTCTAGTCCATGGCTCCACAAGTTGAATTGGCTTATATCCCCAATATATGAGTTTGCCTTATTCAGACCGCCTCCTACATTTCCTTGAAGCTGACCAACAATAAGTGCTCCGCCACCAAGTATCTTCTGATCGGTTTTGAGATTAATGTTCAGGTAAACCAAATTTGAGTTTTTGAAGTATCTGTATGTCCCGCCATTGGCCTTCCACAGAACACAGTAATGATGCCATCTACCATTGTTGGTTTTTGTGGAACTAGCCGTTCCCCACTGGTTGTTAACCAACATCTGCATATTAGCAGTGTTATAAACCTTGATGGATCCACTGGCAACGCTGGAAGTCATATAGGAGAATATGTAACGACTACTACTTGTATCAGTTGTTCTCATCCACCAACAGGCTGTGAAGGCATCCATGTCTGGAACGGGTTGATAGGAGTAACCATAGCTCCAAACTGAAGTGCTATCTAGGCTCCATACTTTGTTGTCATATTCACCACCACTGCACTTGGCGATTCGTGGCTCTGTGGTAAAATACATGAATCATTAAAACTTTTAGACATAATATGTATTGATCGATTGATCGATTGATTGATTGATTGCAAAAACATTTATATAAAGTAAATATAATTAATCAGTTGTTGTTTTCGTACAAGTTTAAAGGTGGGCAACATAAATAGAATAATGCTAACCGCATGTTCCTAAGCTACTATCATCAAATACTTCCACTTCATAAAGATCGTTTTGTGAAAACATTGACCAAGATATCAAGTCACCACAACCATTTGCACAGCTACGGTCTACAGCAATAGTCTGGAAATGAAACAAATATATTATGTGTACACAATTTTTCTTAAAAAATTAATTGAAGGCTGTGCCTTTCTGTCAATAATATATCAGACGACTAAACGAATTGCAGTTGCTATTCGGCAACTCAAATATTGCTGTCGTGTGTTTTCGTCATGTTATTCTAATGACGAACTGGTAGCCGTGCAATTTCCATCGCGTTATCCGGTGGAGTAACAATAGTTAACGCGTTTGTTCGATCGATTGTTCAGATTAAAAAATCTAACAAACGTGTTACAGATCGTACTAAACAAAAACATATGTTGCTAGTCTGTTTGTTTAGTGGTCAGAGATAAGATACTTACAGAAATGGTGTCCTCATCAATAACTGTTGTCCACATATTGAACTGGGTCATTTCACCACGGAAAGAATATGCTTTGTTGAAACCGCCACCTTTGCTGCCTTGTCTTTGTCCAATAACTAGTGTACCTGCTCCACGAATAATTTCTCCCGTTCTGAAATTTGTTTGCGTGAATGCATTGCTACCATCCTTGTAAACTTTATAGATGCCACTGTCACGGGTCCACGTCAAACATACATGATGCCATTGGGCGTATCCAACAGATATTGTAGATGCACTGCTTAGCGAGTTTTTGATGGAGGTTCTTAGGTTGTATGGATCGTAAACCATGATGCTGTTATATGTGTTGTCACCCGTTGCAAAGTAACTAAACATGGCGTCAGAGCTCCTGATGTCAGTGCCCGTTGTTTTCATCCACCAACAGACTGAAAACTGATCTATGTCTCGGAAGCTCTTTGCAGGTTCAACATATGTAAACTCGTATTCGGAATTGAAGTTCCATGTACTGTTGTCGAATTGCCCATCAGAACAAGTAATAACTTCTTGAACTGCAAAAATAGGGGGTGGGATTTGATGATATATATGGCTTTGATTTGAGCATTAAAGAATGTAACCAACTTCTGTTGCACACATAAAGCAATGTATTTCGGATCTCAAATGCTACACAAATGAGATGATTGAATAATTTCGAGATACGTACCACAGTCCAACTCGTATTCTAGCACTTTAATATCATGAACATCGCCAGGTCTGAATGCAGCCCATGAAATGAGATCTCCGCAAGTTTGCTGACATATATCACCCGCAATGTTCTATTAGTAAGAACAAACATTATTACGTAAATTATAATAACATATGTTGATGCTTATGTTCATACACAATATATGTTTCCATACAATCGTTTGTGATCAATAGTCAACTTACTGTTATTGCGCTTTCTTCGAGTACACTTTCCCACATATTAAAGCTTGTCAGGTCGCCTTGGTATTTGTAGGTGCTTGAGAAACCACCACCAACCGTGGTCTGATATTGTCCAATTATGAAACTGCCACCTCGTTTTATCATCTGTCCCGATCTGAGTCCCGTGAAAGTGTTTACAAGTGTGGCATCTTTGAAGTACTGGTATACGCCATTGTTGGAATCCCAAGTAATACAGATATGATGCCAAAGACCATAGTTAACAGCAGTACCCATTGCACTGCCACTTCCACCATTGACTAATATGTACACATTAGAAGGTCGACGAACTTCAATCAATCTGCCATTTGACTTGCTGAAGTAACTCATCACGAATCCATCACTTGTACTGTAAGTCTTGGTCCAGAAACACATGCTAAATTCATCGAGATCTGGGAGTTCTTTTCTCACTATGCCATATGTGAAATCAGTTGAGTCTCCTTCCCCCATTCTCCATACCTTGCCATTGTAATGTCCTTTAGAACATATCTTTTCACGTACAGCTGGAATTGGAATGACCAAATTTAGTATAATAAAATAGTATGTTAAAATACAATTACGATTCCTTATTTGTCATATTATAGAGAAATATACGGTCACATGCATATATAAAGAAAAAGCTCACTGATAGATATGTTATTTAGGTAACTACTAATTTATCAAAGTATCAAAATATTGGATTCATACCACACGTATTGTCACTATCGGTGACATCAATGTTAACAATATCCCCGTCTCTGAAATACGACCAGGCAATTACGTCACCACAACCCTTTTCACAGCCAGTCGTGCCAATATTCTGAAATAAATTAGGAATAGGTAAACATGATTACAATCGAGACTGGGTTATACAGTTCAAACAAATAATGTGTGAAGTATAAGTCAAACTACTTACTCGTAAATCGTCACTTTCCATTACTTTACTCCAGAAATTAAAATCAGTAAGATCTCCCTTGTACGCTGTAGAAGTACTGAAACCACCACCGACACTATTTTGCTGTTGACCAAGTAACATGGTTCCTCTTCCTAGTATAGTATTTCCAGTCTTTAAGTTGTCCTGAGAGTAACTGAGAACACCATCCTTGAAGTACTTGTACTCGCCATTTGTGGACGACCATGTGACACATATGTGATGCCACAGACCATATCGAACGTCGATACTGCTTGCCGTTCCACACTGGTTGTTAACACACAACTGCATATTGTGCATGTAACGCACGTAGATGTAACCCACCGATATAGAATGGGTTCTATAACTAAACACATTGCGTGCTTGTGTGGTCACATCACTCGTTCTCATCCACCAGCATGACGTAAATGCGTTTAAATCAGGTACCTCTTTGTAAGCCATGGCTACACTCATTTCTGATGTTTTTTCGCTTGTAAACGTGAATACTTTGTCATCAAATGCACCACCACTACACGTGCTTACTCGTGTTTCTGTTGATGTAAAAAACAACGAATATTAAACTGTTTATAAAGCTATAATTGGAACAAACGTCCCATTGTCATTGAAAAGCCAACACTAATCATTGACTTACGATTTATTAATATGTAATCAAAGTGTGTGTAGCTTATTGTTATACAAAGGGGTAAAGTTGGTAACATATAGCACACCTTATCTTGAATGCCGGATTAAACTCTATTAAAACGTAACCTTATATAGAGTTGCAATTTAATTAAGTTTAATTAAATCGCATTATTATATGGAATTACAATTTAATTAAAAAATTACGGTTTAGTTGTGGCTATAAAAATACTGTTTCCAAAATCATGTGTGCAAACGTAATGCTCACCGCAATCAACATCAAAATCAACTGTATCTACGGTGTGCAAATCATTGGACCGGAAGAAAGACCAAGCAATTATGTCACCACAATCTGGCTGGCATCCACTTTCAGCAACTCCCTGTAAATGCAATGAAGGAATCAATTATAAATAATATAAAATAGAATCCAAATATACTTTTATATTCGTTTCACGCGTTCTTGGGTTTCATAATTACAATAACATTGATAAATGAAACACAACATGTCTTACTATACTCACCAGTATAACACTTGATTCTAACACCGAACACCACAAATTAAACTGTGACATTTCACCCAGAAACTGGTAATTGTTCGTGAAGACTATTCCATTCTGGTTTTGAACCTGGCCGATGACGAGAGATCCACCACCAAAGATTGTTGCGCCTTTCTTCAAATTTGTTCCTGAGTAAACTCTTGCAGTGTCTTTAAAATACTGGTAGTCACCATTGGTGGAAGACCACGTGACGCACATGTGATGCCAGAGACCTGTGTTGCCGGGTACACCACTAGCAGTAGCAGCACCATTGTTCACGACCATTTGTACATTTGCCATGTTACGCACGAAGAAACTGCCAGTCGCAACAGCACGTGTGGCGTAGGAGAAGAAATGGCGTGAAGTACCACCGTCAGTTGTACGAGACCACCAACACGCTGTCAAGGCTGATAGGCGTTCGATGACTTTATTTGCTTGTACAAAACTCCAATCTGTCGTATCTGTACTTGTGAACGACCATGCTTTACCATCAAACTGTCCTCCCTCACAATCAGATACACGTTGCTCTATAGGGCAATAGAATATGCTAGATTAGTCACGTATTTCATATATAAAGGCATTTATACCAACTCATAATAGTTTGGATTTGTTCATATACATGATATATTATGTCATAATTTTTGTTTATAATTTCAATTTGTTTATGTTTTTTGAATCAAATACTGAAATAGTTATTCAACTTACTACAGTCAGTATTCGAGTCTTCAACCTCAACTTCCACCAAATTTTCTTCAATGAAACTATGCCACGATATGAGCTCCCCGCATCCGTTGTCGCATCCACGTTCAGCAGCGTGACTCTGTAAAACAATGAAAACATTTTAATACATGAATGCTTAACTAATATGGAAAGTGTTGTTATAACGTAGTAATAATAGTCAAATGTACCATTATGTCTGTGTGGTCGAGAACACTGGTCCACATATTGAAATCTGACATATCTCCAATATAAGAATATGCTCTGTTGAATCCTCCACCCATGCTTCCTTGCTTTTGACCAATGATCAGAGATCCAGCTCCGCGAATTATTTGATCTGTCTTTATGCCTTGTTGTTCAAAGGCCAGGGCACCGTTCTTATATAGTTGCACAACACCACCTTCAGATTTCCAAGTAGTACAAACGTGATTCCATAAACCATAGCGAATTGACACTGACGTGGATGAACTCCATGTGTTCTTGATTGCAACTCTCAGTATATAAGGATTCTCTATAACAATACTGCCAACACTGTCTCCGTATGCATAGTAGCTCATCATGGACCTTGCTGCAGTGCTCAAGTCATCTGTTCTAGCCCAGAAGCACATGCTAAACTCAGATAGGTCAGGCATTTCTATGTCTGATGTTACATATGTGTACTCGGCACTGCTGTCAAAAGTCCACACTTTCTTAGTGAAGTCACCTCCAGAGCAGACTGTTTTTTGAGGTCCTAAAATGTTAGATGAGAATATGATAAGCTTGTTAAATTGAAGAATAATTTGACAACCTTATGCAAATTTTGACTGTTGTTTTCATCGAAAATGTTCATGTCATGAAAAAACCTCAGAAAATGTGCTGAAACAAATTAAGATTTGACAGACACCATAAAAAATATAAAATAACATTGTGCCAACATGCAACTGTAAGTAATTGATAGTAATCATTAATTATGAATCTTGATATCTTATGGCATTCTAAATCTAGATCCTGAATAACAATACAAAGTGAATCTGTTAATACTTATATAATAATAGTTTATGACGTACCACATTCTATGTCAGAATCTGTTATCGTTACAGCTTCTGATACATCGCTTGGTCGGAAGAAAGGCCAGCTTATTACGTCACCACAGTTAGAATCACAACCATCATTTGCCATGTTCTATTTAGGAAAAACAAACAAAATTCTGAGTGTAACCAGAATTAATATCAATAGACAATATTTGTATGCGGCATTGTTTGAGAAATGACTAATCAATTCATTATCATCATACCTGGATATCGGCAACATCAAGAACATCGCTCCAAATATCAAATTTTGTCATTTCAGCATTGAAACTGTACGTTTTTGAGAAGCTGCCACCAACCAAGCCTTGGCGCTGGCCAAGGATCAGGACACCTCCACCAAGGATATCTTGGTTATTCTTCAGATTGTAAGATGTGTACCGCATGAGACCATCTTTGTAGTAATGATATCTGCCACTATCAAATGAATCCCATGTGAAACACATATGGTGCCATAATCCATAGTTCACAGCCACACCACTTGCAGTGGCGGCACCATTGTTAATATACATTTGTACGTTGTTTGGGTTATACACGTAAAAGCTACCAGTGGCCAATGTGTTGGTTCTGTAGTGCATTAAATATTTAGAAGTGGTTTTGTCTTCGCTTCTCACCCAGAAGCACATAGTGAACTTGGTTAAATCAGGAACCTTTTGGAATGACTGGCCATAAGCAAAGTCACCTGAGTTATCCATGTCTAGTACTTTGTCCTTCAAATCACCTCCATTACATTCAGTTACTCTTTCTTCTGTTGTTGAAAAACACATGCAAACAGATTGACGAACAATTCTAGCCAACAGTGATGAAAACTGAGACTCACTAGAACGAGTCATATGTAACTTTAAACATGCTGGCTAAGCCTTTAAAAAGAGTGAGACTACAGTGCACATTGAAGTGTATAAACACATTAACACTGACGATTCACCCAAGAAAACCAGGTTGGTGTCAAAATGACAGAATTGTAGGTATATAAAGACAAATTGGGTCCGCTGAGAAAGTAGGTAATTAAATATGAGTATGCCACAAACAGATTGTCATATTCATTAACGGGTTAAACACAAGTAATTAATAATATTCACTCCAAATACATAATAAATACTTACCACAGACATCACTACCATCATCAACCTCAACCTCTGTAAGATCTGCACTGATGAAGTCTGACCAAGAAACTAGGTTACCACATCCATTGTCACAACCTATGTTTTCCGAAAACGTCTGAAAAAATAAATAAAGGTGATTTTTATTTCACGGTGTGCACAATTATTGCCAAGCATGAACGTATACGGATGTGGTCTGCTAGGACTTGAAAACTACAATACATATGAACTTACATATATCTTTGATGACAATAACACCTCATCCCACATATTAAAGTCAGACATTTCTCCCAAGTAAGCATCTGACTGCAGGAAGTTGCCTCCCATGATTCTCTGTCTTTGGCCAAGAATCAACGTACCACCTCCTTTCAACAGTGTATCTGTCTTCAGGGAGTTTTGTAGATAGGTTCGGCTTCCATCCCTGTAAAACTCCTGAATACCTCCATCAGATGACCATGTGATACAGACGTGATGCCAAATGCCGTGGGTCACGGAAACACTCGAGGATGAAGCCCAGGTGTTTTTTATCATTGCTCTGAGATTATGTGGACTTTCGACAATAATGCTGCCATAACTGTCGCCAGGAGCAAAATAATGCATCATTACAGGGGAGCTAGTTGTTGTGCTAGTACGCATCCACCAACATGCAGTGAACGCCCATATGTCTACAAAGTCCTTTGAAACTGTGACATATGAATAATCATCAGAACTGTCGAAGGTCCATGATTTGCCTGTGTAGTCACCTTTTGTACAAACAGTCTCTTCTTTTTCTGTGAAACAAGTAATATGAATGCAATTATAAACGAGTTACATAGCTTGTTTGTAAAATATAATTCTACATAAAGCGTGGTTGAGAACGTTGATGTTACCAATACCTAAATTTTAATTGCAAAACATCATACAATAGCCATGTGCTTCCAATACCCTACATTGAGCACCATACAGCGACAGAACCTCTCTCTGCACTATGGCTAACTTATGAGTAAAACTGTAATAGTATAACACTATTTCACGTTAAATGTATCTAATATCACTCAAAGCTCGTTGGTCGTGTCTATGTTACATTGCATTTGCATGCATTGCTAAAACATGAGTAATACTTACCACACTCTACATCAGAATCCTTGACGTCAATACCAGCAACATCGTCTGATCTGAAAAAGGTCCAGGAAATGACGTTGCCACAGCTATATCCACATGGTTCAATAAACATTGCCTGTCAATGATTAGTGATTGAAGGTGTCAAAACAAAATAATAGCAAAGCAAATATAAAGAATTACTATTGTGAACTACTAACATTACAGACTTTCATCTTGAACACCAGGTAGCAATTTAGTCAATAACATAATTACTCAATTTTGCAATTCTGTAACTGACAGCATATGTAGCATATCATATGTATATATCTCATTATGGATTGTTTAAATGTGATTACCTCTATGTCTGCATCAGAAAGTGCTTCACTCCACATGTTAAATTTAGCAATTTCACCATCAAATGGATACGATGTACCAAACTGCCCACCAATAGATGCTTGCCACTGCCCAATGATGAATGAACCTCCTCCAGCTATTTTGTAGTTCGTCCTTAGCCCAGTGTTGGTGTATCTAAGTCTAGCATCCTTGAAATACTGGTATTTACCACTTGCAGATGTCCATGTCATACATGTGTGGAACCAGAGACCATAGTTGATAGCGATTCCACTGTTAGTTCCAGCTGCATTATCAACATAAAATTGTAGATTGGTTGGGTTGTACAGGTACATACTGCCAGCATTGATGTTGGATGTTCTGTAGGTGAATATATACTTGGCAGCTGTGGATTGGGTTGTCTTGATCCACATGCAGACTGTTGCTGCTGACATCTCTTGGATTTCTTGCATGACAGATGCATAGCTCTTTGTTGTTCCATCTAACACGATCTGTTTGTCATCGAATTCGCCTTTTCCACACTCCGTTATCCTATGCGCTAAAAGACAGATAATAAAAGAGTGAGATTACCCAGAAAAGTATATATAATGAAACAACTACTGAATAACTGCTAGATTTATTTACTTTATCATTAAGAAGCATCAGGCTTCTTTAAAATGTATGTGTATACTTACTGCAAACGGCTTCCTTATCATCTATGTCCACCTCAATTGATTCATCCCTCGTAAAATCATCCCACAAAATGATATTTCCACATCCATTGTCACATCCACGGTTCTCAACGAAAGCCTATGTATATATTAATAAAATGACTTTAGCACTAAATAAAAGTAGTATTTAAAAATACCAATGTAAGATGTTGAAAAATACTATATCACAAAACATCTAATAATTACCCGTATGACATCTGAATCCAAACGAATGTTCCACATATTGAAGTCTGATAGTTCGCCTGTATAAGAGTAAGATTTACTGAATCCACCACCAAGACTTCCCTGTTTTTGTCCTAAAACCAATTTGCCGCCACCTCTCAGGATCTTGTTTAGTGCATATCCACTTTGCGTGTAAGCAACACCGCCATCTCTATAGATGTTGTAGATACCATCTTTTTCAGACCACGAGAGACACACATGGTGCCACATTCCATAATTTACTGCTACAGTTGATGAACTTCCCCAACTATTCTTAATAGCAGCTCTTAGATTATATGGATTTTCTAAAAGAATACTACTGACACTGTCACCTGTAAACGGAATATGTATGGACTGTTACTGAAACATAAAATCTTTGTCAACATTATGTTATTTTTTTAAACTGATAATGTTTCTATTTAATCAAATTACTCATAAAATGATGATGTTAACATATCAAACATGAGTGCATATTTGACAGCGTCTTTTAACCAAATGATTCAGAGCACTGCAACATCACAATTTATGAGCATTTCATAATTTTCCTGCAGGAAATTTCAGAGCAATGTGTATGGTTATTGATTTAGTTTTTCATATTTGTAATAATTATGATAATATATTAACGTGTTTAGTATTTTTTTTCATGTTTACACTTCACACATATTATGACAGGTTTCATGGGCATGGAAATATGCTAACCTTGGGCGAAGTAGCTCATCATTGTATGCCGTGTACTGGAAGTATCCTCTGTTCTCATCCACCAACATGTTGTGAATTCCCATAGGTCACGTACTTCTTTCTCGGAAGTTACATAGGCATACTCATACGAACTGTCAAAACTCAGACTATTGTCTTCAAAACTTCCACCAGTACAGATTGGTTCCTCTAGTGCTGTTGGATTTTGTTAATATCATAAAAATGTGAACATTCAGTGTGATGTGTGCACTAGAAAATAGATTGATTAATCGATTGATTGATTGGTTGGTGAAAATTTGCATTTCTATATTATTATATTTCTATATGAATGTTGTATATATACAACAGGCAATTAATCTACTCACCACATTTGATGTCAGAATCCTTCAATTCAACAGCAGATGAAACATCACCTGGTCGGAAATATGACCACGATATTTCATCACCACAAGTTACATCACAACCACCAATGGCCATACTCTGCAAGCAAAATATAATGTTGTGTTAGCTTTATCTGGATTGCGAATACAACAACTAACATGCAAATGAACAATAATAACGCTAAGATACTAAATATAGATTTAATGAGCATCGTAAACATACTTGTATATCTTGCGGATCAAGGAGTTCACTCCAGATATTGAATTTTGTCATTTCCCCATTGAAAGAGTAACTCTTTGAAAAACCGCCTCCAATTGAGGCTTGCCATGTGCCAAGGATAAGAGTGCCACCTCCAAGAATAGCTTGGTTGTTCTTCAGGTTATATGACGTGTATCTCATGACACCATCTTTGTAATAATGGTATCGTCCGCTGTCAGCTGAATCCCAGGTAAAGCACAAATGATGCCACACACCATAGTTCACGGCAACACTACTACCAGTGGCAGCACCATTATTGACGTAGAGTTGTACATTTGTTGGGTTGTACACGTAGATACTTCCAGTATTGATATTACTGCTTCTGTATGTCATGATATACCTGGATGCTGTAATGTCTCGGCTTCGTACCCAGAAACACATGGTGAATTCATTCATATCAGGAATGGTCTGATATGACTGTGCATAGGCATAGTCTCCTGTGTTGTCCATATCTAACACAGTTCTTTCAAACTTTCCTTCTCCGCATTTTGTGACCCTTGGCTCTAAAAAACAATGTATGATAAGTGAATTTCCCTTTGTCTACACATTAGCATAGATGTATATCATGAGGGTAATTAACAATGATATATGTACAGGAACTTACGACAGTCAGACTCGGCATCTTCCACTTCAACTTCATTGAGTGCCGATGATTTAAATGCAGTCCAGGGAAGAAGATTACCACAGCCATTTTTACAACCACGATTTTCAGCAAGACGCTGAAGAAAATTTAAACAAATATCAGTTAGTTTATGTAGCTAGTTGGTTGGCTTGTGGTTATTAATTTAATATTAATAACTACTATGTAGATCTGCTTTTAAACTCACCTTGATTTCCGTTGCCATGACAACATTATCCCACATGTTGAAATCTGAGATACCACCATTATAAGAATAAGCTCTGTTGAAACCACCTCCTATGCTGCCTTGACGCTGTCCAATTATCAGCGTACCACCTCCCTTCAATAAGAGGTTTGCTTTGAAATTGTTTTGTGTGAAGGCTCTGCTACCGTCTTTGTATATCTCATGCACGCCACCATCTGATGACCACGTGACACACACGTGATGCCACAGACCGTACGTTGTCGATATTCCTGAACTGGTAGCCCAAGTATTCTGTATGCATGCCCGAAGATTCTTAGGAGTTTCGAAAACAATACTGCCAGTGCTGTCGCCATGTGCGTAATAACTCATCATTGCACGGGAGCTTCCTTCATCATTTGTCTTCATCCAGAAGCAAGCAGTAAATGCCCACATGTCTACAAACTCTACTGGTGCCGTGGCATAAGTATATTCAGCAGAACTGTCCATTATCCATGTCTTGTTAGTGTAGGCCCCTTCATCACATGTCACAACTTCCTCCTCTGAAAAAGTCAATATATATGAAATTATGAAATTGAACATTAACCTTTTCACGACTATTTTTTCCATCACAAATTCACAAAACAGTTGCAATTAAAACTAGAAAACTAAAAAAAGAAATATTATGTAACCTATGAATAATTATACATTATTAAGTATTTATATATATTTAAGTGTATTTACCGCATTGCACATCAGAGTCTTCAACAGTAATTCCAGCAATATCATCTTGTCTGAAGAAAGTCCAGGAAATGACGTCACCACATGTATATCCACATGGTTCAGTGAACATTTTCTATAGAACAAGAGAATCAGTTCATTAGTCATAAGTTAATTTGTTTTGTGAATTATCACTACATATGTCCACATTCTTGTCTTAGAAGTTAACATTATAAATGTACATTCTTGTTTATAACATGCTGTTGTGTACATACCTCGATATCCACATCAGCAAGTACTTCACTCCACATATTGAACTTGGCAATTTCACCATTGAATGGATACGATGTACCAAACTGCCCACCAATAGATGCTTGCCACTGTCCGATGATAAAAGCACCACCTCCCGCTATTTTGTAGTTCGTCCTTAGCCCAGTGTTGGTGTAACGTAGGCGACCATCCTTGAAGTATTGGTATTTACCGTTTTCAGATGTCCATGTCATACATGTGTGGAACCAAAGACCATAGTTGATAGCGATTCCACTGTTAGCTCCAGCTGCATTATCAACATAAAATTGTATATTGGTTGGGTTGTACAGGTACATACTGCCAGCATTGATGTTGGATGTTCTGTAGGTGAATATATACTTGGCAGCTGTGGATTGGGTCGTCTTGATCCACATGCAGACTGTTGCTGCTGACATCTCTGGGATTTCTTGCATGACAGATGCATAGCTGTTTGTTGTTCCATCAAATTCAAATTTCTTGTCATCAAAATCACCTTTTCCACATTCCAATTCCCGTGCCTCTGTTGATATAAACGATTTGTTTTAAATACTGTCATAGACTTGCAACTGCATTCAGTTCACTTAACTGTTTTATATATTAATATGCAATACTAACATATACATTATACACTTACTGCATTCAGAGTCACTGTTCTTAACATCAACTTCAATTAGATCATCGCTTTTAAAATCATGCCATGAAATGACATT